TCCTCCACCACACCTGAGGTCCCTCGGCCTTTCTCGCAGGTATTCGCACCTTTCCACTGTCCCTCACCATCTCCTCCCCAGTGCACTTCCAGCAACCGCCTTCTCATGGGCACTGCTTCACACTGACATTTCATCCAACTCCTGCTACTCTGTCATCTCTCCGTACGACTTTACACGCTTCTGGAGGGCAGAAAGGGAGTCTCAACCCAGTTTTCCTTGGATGACTCTGCACAGTGTAATTCTAAAACTGCTGAAGAAATGAACAAAGAGGTGATCTATTAAGCCAGAGAAGATAGGTTTGCCCAACAATTCAGGGTTCTGCTGTTCGGTTTTTTTGGTTTTTTTTTTAAGTTGTTTTTGAGACAAGAGTCTCATGTAGTCCAGGCTGGACTCTGATTCACTATGCATTGAGGATGACTCTGAATTCCCAATCCTCTTGTCTCCACCTCCCAAGCACTGGGAGTGTATGCCACCACGTCCAGCTACTCTCCTGAATGTTCAGAGTGCTTCCGCTGGCACTCTCTTTCAGTGAACTTCACTGCAGCTGAAGAACCATTCTACCGGTCTGTATCGATCACTCTTGCAGTTCTGCTCTCTGTTTTGACAGTTTATACAACACTGCCATATTTCATTCATTCAGGTATTATCTGTGGCTGTTTGGGGACTAAAGAGCAGAACTAAGGAATTGCAAGAGACTATATGACTCACACGGCATACAGTATTTAGTATCTGATCCTCTACAGAAAACTTTGCTGGCCTTGACTTTTTGTTTCCCAAGACAGGGTTTCTCTATGTAGTTTGGCTGTCTTGGAATTCACCCTATAGACTAGGCTGGCCTCGAACTCAGAGACCCACCTGCCTCTACCTCCAGAGTGCTGGGATTAAAAGCGTGTGCCATCTAGCAGCCCTGACTTTCTTTTAAAGATTTATTTATTTATTATATATACAGCATTCTGTCTGCATGTATACCTGCATGCCAGAAGAGGGCAACAGATCTTATTATGGATAGTTGTGAGCCACCATGTGGTTGCTGGGAAATGAATTTAGGACCTCTGAAAGAGCAAGCAGTGCTCTTAACCACTGAGCCATCTCTCCAGCCCCATGCCCTATTTTAAGATAACAGTATGCCATCTGATCCTCATAACATTTTGTATTTGGTATTTTTTTTAGTAATAACATATACTAAACACATAATTTCATGCTAATCCTCATCTCAGGATATGAGAGACGCTCTTCTTTGTATCATTCTATCACTGGCATTATAGTCTCATAATCACTAACCCAGAAAACAGCATCGACATAACTAATAAAAACCTGTTTCCTATGGTTACAGAACCCTTGTGATCTTTAATCCCTGCTCCTAAAAGAGTAATAGTTCAGGGGCTTAGGATCATCTCAGTGGTAAGAGTGTCTGCCTCTTATGCGTGAGGCTCCGGGTTCAATCCCTACTACCCACCCCACCCCCACTAAAAAAGGAATAAGATACAGATATAGGTAGAATGATTAAGTACTATCATAGTCCTTCTGGGCTTCACTATGAGCCAGGCCTAAGTAGATTAATAAGTCTGTTTATTCACAAGTGTCATGACCAGTTATATCCCTCAATAAGCCACATCCAAAAGCCCAATAAGCACTTGGATTTTCTTCATCTTTTCCTGTTAGGTATTTTTTGTTGTTGTTGTTCTGTTTTTTAGGAGTTATTTTTTGTTTGGGTTTTTGGGGGGTTTGTTTGTTTTACGTTTATGAGCGTTTACCCTGCACATGCGTATGTGCTCCACTTGTGTGCCTGGTGAGGAGGCCAGAAGAGGGTGTCAGATCCCCTGGACCGGGAATTACAGATGGCTGTGAGCCACCATGTGGTCCTGGGCCCTCACTCTTGGTTTGCTTTGGGTTTTTTTGGTTTGTTGTTGTTGTTGTCTTACTATGTAACTGGGAATGGCTTTGCATTCCCGATCCTCCTGCCTGAATCTCCAAATACTGGAACAATAGGCACTCACCACCAAATCTTTTTAAAGACAAGGTCTCCCTATACAGCCCTGATTTATGTTTCTCATGCTTTAGCCTCCTGGATTAAGACCAGATTTTTTTCCTTTAAATAATTACTGGTATTTTGGGTCAAAAATAACTAATGACTAGTAAGAGTTTTGTATATGGCATTGTCTTCCTTGAAGGGACTTCAAACCAGTTGGAAAGCTATACCAGGGCAACACCACACAGGACCCTTAACAACAGTATGCGTTTGGAGAACCTACTGAACATGCCGGGCGGTGGTGGCGCACACCTTTAATCCCAGCACTTGGGAGGCAGAGCCAGGCGGATCTCTGTGAGTTCGAGGCCAGCCTGGGCTACCAAGTGAGTTCCAGGAAAGGCGCAAAGCTACACAGGGAAACCCTGTCTTGAAAAAAAAAAAAGAGAACCTACTGTACTGTATCTAAATGCCATCACCTCGTCTATAAATTGGTGCTATCATCTACCTTCGAGATTGGGCGATAGACCTGTAGATGAGATGTGTATGAAAATGTTTTTGAGAGATAGCTCAATGGTTAAGAACACACACTGCTCTTGCGGGGACCTGAGCTTGAATCACAGCATCTGTATCAGGCAGCCTACAATTGCCTGTGTAACCCCAGCTCCAGGGGACCCTGACACCTCTGGCCTCTGTGGGCACTTGCATTCATGTGTATATAACCCCACCCACCCACACACACATAGACATAATTGAAATAATAAAAATAAATCTTTAAAAGGCAAAAGAAATACTTTTGATAATCCCTTACATATAGTTCTGACTCCTTTATCCTTCTAGAGGAAAGGTGAACTAGCAAGCTAAGGGTTAAACTGTGGTGTGTGGCTAATGCAGTATAGCTATGCAAGGGATTCAGACAAAGGCCTACATCATCCCTCCTTACTAGGTGAATTCTGAAATACAAAGCCTTGTTAATGGGCTCAGACTTCTTTTTTCTTTGAACATAGACTCCAAAACACCACCCTCACTCATGAGTGACACAATAGAGTCAGGCACCTATCTCCCTGGCCTGACTGTCTCAAACTCATAACAAAGACAACTGTACACCTACTGTGTGTTTCCTTCCTCTACCACCACAGACTGAACACTGCTATAACACCTGATAAGTAAATGTCTCTAAGAACTCCCTAGAGGAATTTTGGAAAAGTAACTGTATTTTTGCATAAACAGCATTTGAAAATTAATGATTAGCTTTTTCCAAAGCTGAAAAAGACTCAAGAAAACCCGAATAGTACTGAAAGAAAAACATGACATTTCAGGTTTATATAACTTGACACCAGATGGAGCTTTCTGAACTATTAAGTTCATAAGAAAGAAAATCTAGCCTAGGTAGAGGGGAGTTGAAGGAGTGTGTGGTCTCCAAGTATACCAAGTCTTATAGACTGACCTAGTGTCAGAAGGATCTAGAAAACACCAGAAAGAAACAAGACTGCCACTTTTTACTGGTGAGTTTCAAATGAAAAGAAATCTATATAACAGAGTAATTAAAACAGAATCCACTTCAAGGGGGTCATACAGTCTTAAATTCATTGTAGCAATTAGTAGTAACCTGTCTACATTAGTAATTAAAAGCATGCTCTGGAACTGGTTTTGTTTTGGTTGTTTTGGGACCCTCCTTTACCTCTGCCCTATCAATACTGCTTATGTAGGCAGCAATCCTTTCTTGTTTTTAAGGAAGAGGACAGGTTTACTGGGCACACTGCAACAGCAGCAGGCACAAGAGCGACTCAAGTCCATCACACAGTCTCGGCTGCCGGCTTTCCAGTGTCTCATTTGACCCTCCCACAATTCCAGGAGGCAGGCACTGTTATTTCCACAGCTCGCATTTGAAAGATGAAGGAACCCAGGTTTACAGACAGCAATCGACTTGCTTAAGATCACACGGTTAGTATGTGACGGGGCCTCTATTCAATCCAGGCTATCTGCACGTGGTGCTTTCAATCACATGAAAAGAAAGGTAAGGTACAAAGCTGATTTTCCAACTAGCTTGACCACAGCTTTATACAACACAAAGATGTACGCATATAATGACAGGTCATAGAAAATGAGTCATTTCTTCCTACCTACCCATTCACAGTCAACTGCGGAGCCTCTCAGGTAGCAATTCTTAGGCACACATAACAAAAACTCTTCAGGCACAGCTTCCCAGCCTTTTGGCTAAAATTCAAGAGTCTAAAGTCTTGAGACACCCATATCAAAGTTTTAAAATCTGTCATCTTATTATACACTCCAATATCTTGCATGTATTTAAAAAAAAAAAAGAAAAGAGAAGATAACAAGAAATTTCTCCTGGAGCTGGAAAACTTGCAAAAATGTGAGGCTGGGATTGTCTGTTGGCCTTCGGTCCTTTATCCCCACTTTCCAGCCAGCAGAGACAAAAAAAAAAAAAAAAAAAATACTTAAGAGAAGGAGGAGAGACAGGTCTCCCTTATTCTAGCCATTCGGCTGAAGGAACTCAATGAGAACGCTGTTCTACTGCCCTTTACAAATTTCAGAGTTATTAGGTGACAGTTAAAAAGCCAACTGCAACCCGAGCACACAGCACCGAGAGAACGGGAGAACGCTGATTCAAATAACACTCATCACGACCCAGTCTCTGGCTCCTGTCAATTACACAAAAGAGTCAGCTATTAAATATTAATGGCATGCATTTGCGCTGGAGCCCTCCTGCTACCAATCTCTGTTATGAAAGGAAAACTGTCCCCGTTTGTCTAGGTAGAAGCTCAGACCACTAGGATTCCCTTGGCTGGTTATGTTCATTCTGCCTCTCCCAGGGGAGATGACACGGCCACCCCACATCCCAGGGAGGAGAAGGGACGGGAGGGTCCAAGCCGGGAGGACCTGGTCCCCTTGTCCCCCAGCTGTCAGCCGCAGGCTGGGAGGCGGGGCGCGGCCGGGCCCCGCTGTCCGCACAAAGGGAGTGGGCGAGCGGATGGGTGACCCCGCAGCCCCGGCCAGGGCGGAGAGCACTTACCCAGCAGCAGCACGTTCTTCCCGGTCGGGAGCTTGGAGCGCGAGCGCGTGGACACCTCGCTGAGGATGCAGGACCTAACGGGGGAGCAAAGCGCAGGCTGAGGCCGGGCCCGGCCGAGGACGGGAACCGCCGGCCCCAGCTCCCGGGAGGCCCCGCCCGGCTCCCTGCTCCCGCGGGGCTCTGGGATCCCGAAGGCGTCCGCCCGGGCGAGGAGATAACCCGCGGGGGACCAGAGAGGGGTGCGGTCGTTACCAGAGGTTCTGTCCGTCCTCGTCGTCGCCCGCCGCGGGGCCGCCGCTGCCCGACGCCAGCTCGTTGGCCAGAGGCCCGCTGGCGTAAGTCGAGGCTAACCCGGGTGGAGATGAACCGAACGAGCCGACTCGCCCCACGGCCGCCATCTTGGTCGGGAATCACACCACTCCTGACAGGGCTGAAAGAGCGGGGCGGCGGCGGCGGCGGCGGCGGCGGCGGCGGCGGCGGGAACCCGGATATGGGCGTTCGGGGCTCTGGAGCTGACCGCGCCTGCGGGGGCGGGAACCAAGCCTGAGGGCGGGGCCTGGGGCGGGGCTGTCGGAGGAGCGGGACGCTGCTGCGCATGCGCGGTAGTCCAGACCCCGGGGGACTGCGCATGCGCGGACTCATGACTCGCTGTACTCAGTGGCGGTGCTGCTTTTTCCTGGGTCTCCAAGCTGAAACGCTGCTCCGCGTGCATCACCTGTCACCCGGGCTGCAGCGGTAGGGCGGGCAAGGTGTGTTAGGTGTGCGGCACAGCCGCCCACCCTTCGTTGGGCGCGGTAACCTGGGACCAGCGTGGATCCTGCGCTGCCCACCATTCAGTCGGTCCAAGCGGGGTTCGCAGCCTTTAACTGCGCCCAGGTACAAACCGGCTGTCCCCGTCCCCGCCGCCAGGGTTAGCGTCGTCCTGGATTTCTGGCCTTTCCTCTCTGCATTCTCAAGGGACGATGAGTACCTCAAGCTGGGCCCACATCTGGAGCCGGTTCTTCCAGTTTCTAAGCAGCTGCATGACAGATAAATGTTGGCAGCACTTGTACAATTAATGGTCTTGATGGGTTTCTGGTTTTGTTTGTTTGTTTCAGGAGGGGAATCTAATGTCGCCCAGGATAGAGTCTAAATCTTCCTGCCTGCTTGTCCTAAGTGCTGAGGTTAGCAGGTGCACGTCACCATGCCCGCCTCTGATCTTGATGTCTGAAATGTCCCCTGTGAGATTTGAAAAGACCCCACTCTCACCCTACTCCACCCCCGGCCCCAACACGAGTCGTCTTTCCGTCACCTTCACCGTCACCAGCAAGCACAGAGAACCTAAGCTAGCACCTAGATAATTATTTGTCACAACTTTATTGGCTAAATATATTGGAATGTCTGAGGGCCATTTCGAGAAAGAATCGATGGCTTTAAGGCTCTGTCATGCACCCTGTAAGAGCAATGGCTGAAAATAGTCTGGCTTTTGTACATTTTTTTTTTCCATATTTGAAGATCGTTTGTTCATGTGACCTGAACAATGCTGTTATGCTAGCAAGAAAGTCCACCACAAGCACTGTATTTGCTGCAGGTCTCTTGACATTTACTAGACTCTGTAGGCTGGCTAATCTGAGTTCAGTTTATTGGCTTTGTAACCTCATGATTTACCCTCTCTTGAGTTTCAAGTTTTTAACTGTAAGTTGGGTATAAAAGGAAAATTAAATGGGGTGATTCATGTAAAGGTTTAAAACATTTTCTAGAAAATCTTAAGTGCTCAAAGAATGTTAACTATTGTTTTGTTTTTATTTTTAAATCTTTTTGTAAAGATGTCTGTATTTTTGGCCAGGGCAGTGGTGGCCCACGCCTTTAATCACAGCACTTGGAGGCAGAGGCAGGCAGATCTCTTGAGCCTGGTCTACAGAGGAGTTCCAGGACAGCCAGGGCTACACAGAGAAACAAGCCAAAAAGATGTATTTATTTTTATTTTATGTGTATGGGTGTTTTGCCTGGATGTATGTCTGTGTACTATATGCATGCCTGTGCCTGGTGTCAGTGGAAGCCAGAAGAGAACATTGGATCCCCTGGAACAGGAGTTACAAACTGTTGTTAACTGCCATGTGGGTGCTGGGAATCAAATCTAGGTCCTGTAGAAGAGGAACCAGTGCTCTTAACTGCTGAGCCATCTCTCCAGCCCTGTTAATGTGTGTGTGAATGTGTGTGTGTGTGTGTATTCTCAGAAAGTCAATGTTTCATTCTGGTCTCTTGTGGTTGTTTATTTGTGATTTGCCACTGCGTATCTGCCAGGCTATTTGGCCCTGTAGCTTCCAAAGATTCTTCTGTCTTTGCCTCCCACCTGACACAGAAACACTACTCATCTGGCTTTATGTGGATTCTAGCCATCTTCCCTCAGGCCCTCTAGCTGCAGATGCCTTACCTACAGAGCCATCTCCCCAGCCCATTTTACTGATGTGGGAGACAATCTCACATAGCTATGGCTGGCTTTGACTGTCTTGTGTGAATGATGCTAATCATGAACTTCCAGCCTCCAACCTCTCAAGTGCTGGAATTACTGGTGAAAACCACCTCACCTCGTGAATTATTATAAATAATTGTCTTTTGTTAACCTTTCGAACCATATCTTGCCAACCCCTGGTAATGGCAGCCGTAATGAATTCCTGGAGCCAAAATTCCTGTCACTGTGACTAGGGGAGGAACCGGAGCCCTCCCATGCATCCTAGGTTTCTCATGATGCCAAACAACCTGGGACCTCCCAAGTCACAGCCGTCAAGGAAAGCTCTGTAGAGCTGTGGCCGGTCTGGAGATGATTCGCTTTCTGCCCTGCTTTCCTGCTTCAGTCCTCTTTCCTCAGAGCATTTTCTCAACTGTGTTTATACGGAGGGTTGTGGTTTCCAGATCAGATTTGCTTAGTCTGTGAAGTGTTTACTTTCATAACAATGTCAGGCCTTCAGATGGCTAATTAAAGACTTAAACTGAGGTCAAAGTTGTATTCCTATGGGCCTGGAGATGGAGCTCAGTTGGTAGAGTGCCAGTCTCCCATGCATGAAGCCCTGAGTTCAGTCCCCAGCACCGAATACACCAGGTGTGGTGGTATAGGTCTAGAATCCCAGCATATGGGAGGTGGAGGCAGGAGAATGGGAAGTTCAAGGTCCTCCTTAGATACACAGTCAACTCAAGGGCAGCCTGGGATACATGTGATCTCACTCCCAAAAAGAAAAGAAAAAGAAAAAAGGGGAAGTTGTGTTCCCATGACTTTGTAGTACTGATATGTATCATTCTTCTATTAAGATGCCTGATTAAAATAATTACTTATAAATTCCTACCGTGTACCGGGCTGCGTTCTATGTACTGTGATTTTGCGTCTTCATCTTTGTTTTTAAGATTTTATTTTTTTAATTTTATGTGTATAAATGTTTACTACATGTTTGTATCTATACCACATGAGTACCTGGTGCCTCTGAAGCCAGAAGGTGTTGGATCACCTGAGACTGGAGTCACATGGTTGTAAGCCACCATGTAGGTGCTGGGAATTAAACATGGGTTCCCAGGAAGAGCAGCCAGCAGCACTCTTAACTGATGAGTCATCTCTCCAGCCCCTCACTTAATGATTTTTAAAAAGATTGTGTGTGTGTGTGTGTGTGTGTGTGTGTGTGTGTGTGTGTGCGCGCGCGCGCGCGCGCGCGCACGTACGCTCTCACATACGCACACTTCTTAGTATATCTGCACTATGTGCATGCACGTACATTTGGAGGCCAAAAAACTTCATTAGCTCACCTGGAACTGGAGTCACAGGCATCACCACCACTGCCTGGTATTAGTGATGTTTTTTTTAATGAAACGTTAAGTTAGTAACTTATATAGCAACTGTAAAAAAAAAAAAAATCAGAGGCTGGAGAGATGGCTCAGCGGTTAGGAGCACTGGCTGCTCTTTCAGAGGACCCAGGTTCAATTCCCAGCACCCACAAGGCAGCTCACAACTGTCTGTAACTCAATTTCTAGGAGATCTGACACCTTCACACCAATGCGCATAAAATAAAGTTTAAAAAAAATCAAACAGTCTAACACATACTATCCAAAGATAAAGTAATTTGGTACTTACATGCTGAGGAATGATAGTAGGGAAATATTAAAAGTCTTTTTTTTTCACTGGGTAGTGGGGGCTCACGCTTTTAATTCCAGCACTCAGGAGGCAGAGGCAGGTGGATCTGTGTGAGTTCAAGGCCAGCCTGGTCTACAGAGTGAGTTCCAGGACAGCCAGGACTACACAGAGAAACCCTGTCTCGGAAAAAAAAAAATCTGTAATTAATCTATTTGATTTCTATAAGAGCAGAAAATTTGGTCATGGTGTAAAACAGTGTCAGATTTAAGCTGAGGTGTCTCAGGCAGCTTTCACTAGCTTTACATAGTGTAATACCATGCACCATGCAAAGTACACATGTGTGTTCAGAACCATGGCTGTGGTGAAGTCCTTTGATGCAACACAGGTAAGCGGGGCTAGAAACATCTTGGATTCATTATGCTTTTGACTTTTTTTTAAATTAATTTGGAGTTGCCTGTTCAGAACCCTTTTACTGATGCCAAATTTTTCATAACCCCAATGCAGTTGTGAGACCCTATGTAGCATCCCACTCCACAACTGAAGAAGCTGAGACTTAAAGAACATAGGATGGATAGAGTGGCACAAGCCTGTAATCCCAGCCCTAGGAAGGCTGAGACAAGCCAATTGAAAGTCTAGGACATGCAGAGATTATATGCAAATATGGCACTGTTTATACCAGAGACTTTGGCATCATCGGATGGTGGTACTCACAGTGGGTCCTGAAACCCATCTCCACTCGCACCATACAGATACCAAAGGACGTCTGCATATGGTACAGGTTTCTACATTTATCTCTTCAGCCCAGAGATTCTTCTGGAATTCAGATTAATATACCCACCTGCCAACTTCACATCTCCACTCAGATGTTTAATAGGCATTTCAAACTCAACATACCCCAAACTAAACTAGCCTACTCCCATAAAAGCTTCATTACCCCACTTCTCCATTACAGAGCAACCCTTTGTGGCTCAGGCCCAAATCCTGAGTCATTTTAAACTTCTCTATTTCTCTCAAACCTCAGACTGAATCTTGAAACCATGAGGAGTCCTGTTGTGCCTGCCTACCTTCAACATAAACCCACAATGCAACTTCTTTTATTTGTGTGTGGGGGTGTGGGGGTGTATACGCACATCTGCACGGGTGCTACAGCACCTATGTGGAGATCCGAGAACAACTCTGTGGATGGAGCTGGTTCTCTTCTTCCACTTTTACATGGGCTGGTGCAGCAAGCACTTTTACCCGTGAGCCATTCGAGAACCCCACGACGCAATTTTTTGTTTTGTTTTGTTTTGTTTTCTGAGACAAGGTTTCTCTGTGTAGCCCTGGCTGTACTGAGACTCACTCTATAGACCAGGCTGGGCTCAAACTCAGAGATCCGCCTGCCTTTTCTCCCAAGTGGTGGGATTAAGGTGGTGCGTCACC